CCCTACTTCTGTTTCTTCTAAAAACAAAACATCTTGCTCATAGCCTAACACCCATCCAAGTGGCCTTTGCCTTATCTTTCACTTCATTATTATTACTACATTATATTCTTGACCCTGCACATTCTATTTGCAGGGAGCAAAAATAACATATGAGAGAGAGGCTAACCTGGTCATTGATTATTCATCACTCAGTAGAGGATTAAAGCAGGTGAGAACATACCTCCAAAATCCATTAGAATAGTCTATTTCCAAGATGCCTCAAGCCTCTGTTTCAAACCGAGGCTGCTAAGTGCAAAGCCATTGATATGAAAATGATTGTTTTATTCTCATGCAAATAAAACTCATTCTCACAAATGTTTTGTACTTAGTCTTGTTTTAAAAGGGAGAATTTTTGGAACTCGGAAATGGCCTGTTATTTAGATTCTGACTAGTGCATCTGGAGTTTTGTTGAAGCCAAATGGTATTTGCTTTGCTTTATAAATTACTCACCAATAAACCTTTATGACATTTTAAACTATCCAGGAAAGGTTTCATTTTAGAATTCGATGCGAAAGAAAGTTTATATTATAATTGTTATCATTATCATTATTGTTATTTTTCATTATTATTATTTTATTGTCAGCTTGAAGACCCTGCTGAAATTCGCAACATGATGAATGAGCTTACAAACAAGGTGAATAAACTGCAGACAACTTTACAAAGGATTCAAGCTCCCAACATGAAGGCACTTGAAAAGTAAGAACACTTCTTTTTAGTAGACATCTTAAAGAACGTTGGAGACAAAAAATTGCTTTGCATTGCTCACAGCTTTCATGGAATAGGCCATTTGTACGATTACGGCTTTTTTACTACTGAGACCAGAATTCATTTCGTGTTTTCTTTCATATTTAAATTTGTTAATCCCATTGAGGTTGAAATAACAAAAGCCCAAATTTTGCACAAGAAAGCAAAACCCTGGAGGATTCTGGTAGTAGTAGAAAAATGAGGCCATTATGCAAATGGCCTAATGCTTCAGAGTCTTTGCCTAAAACATTTTCGTAGCCAAAAGATCTAAGTTGTCAGGAGAAAGCATTTACAATGATTGTAACAATAATTTTACTCCTTCAAGAGGAACTCGCTGTACAGTCAGGGAATAACTATTAATCGAATGTTGCGATTTTTCAACGTTACTTGTTTCCCTTTATGTCCTCTGCACACCTACAAAAGAGGATTTCCATCCATTGATGATTATATTTTAGATGAATATTTAATATCTCTACTCATATCTTACCCTTAGTTAATTTGTCATTCAGGCTTGAGGGTGTGAGTAGCCGTTTCCAAGAAACGAGTGCAGAGTTTGAGCAAGCAAGAAACAAAGCAAGGAAGGCAAAGATTGAATTTGAAACAGACAAGAAGGAAAGGTATTTTTTCTGTGTAATTGATTTTAACAAAATCTTACTTGCCGATCCTTGCCTTTTCTGTCTATTTTTTGTATTAACTTAATTTATGAAACTTGTTTTCACAGAAGAAACAGATTTTTCGTTTTTAGTCTTGCCTTGTTATTATGATACATTGCCTCACAAGTATTTATTTTTTGCGTAATTATTAAATGGGGCAAAAAAGTTTCATTAAATCATGAAATTATAACTCTATGATAATATAATATAACTTTACTTTTTTGAGTAGAGATTGGACGTATCAGTAGTAGTTATCTTTTGTATTCAACGTAAAGATCAATATTTAACAATATTTTTATTCCTCGAGCCCGAATGGGCTCTGGGTCAGTGGCCTATGAGGCGGAAGGCCAAATGGGCTATTGACTCAGAGGCCATGAGGACGAGACGAATAACTGTTTTAGTAAAATCCAACTAGTTGGTCAAAAATATCGCAACAAAACAACTTTAGCTAGCGAAACGTGATTCAGCCGCCATTGTTTTTGGTTTTCAAAGCCGGCGCTTTTCGCTGCTAGTGGGCTTTAACATATAGCCTAGTAGTAGTTCAACCAATCAGAACGCAGCATTGATAATAGACCACTAGTTGGATTTTACTAAACTGCAATATACTTTTACATAGCCCTGACAGTCTCTTTCACCACCAGATATGAACTCTTCATGACAGCGTTTGAACATGTTTCAACGAAAATAGATGAAATTTACAAGGTTTGTCGTGTATTTACATATACATATAATATATAGATTTAGCCAGGGCTAAAAGCGAAGCTCTCGATAAATCTATCATTTACTAAACAAATTATAAACGAAAACAGACAACAAAAATCGGAGGTCTAATTAGCCAAAAAAAAAACGTTGCATCTGCAGCACACTTTTTTCTAATTAGCAAAAAACAACTTTGTACGCTTTTTTGTACATTTCTTTGCCGTTGTTTTGAACGAATAAAACGTGAAACTTCCAGAAACTTCCCAGTTACACGGTTTATGGAGGAAATGTATGTGTTCTACATGTTCACTTTTTTTTCACTGCCGCTCATTTTCACCTTGTTGGCGGCTAATATTTCCCCTTTTTCTCACCGCCGCTATGAATTTTTTTTGTTTTTTTTCTTCCAACGAAATTGGTCTCCTTTGGTTTTTATCTCTCGCTCTAGCTCTTTCTCTGTTATCTACGTTAATGCAGACGTTGAGATTAAGTCGAAAGAAAGAGTCGGCATTTGTTGTTGTTGTTTTATCTCTAAAACACCGGGAAGCTACCGTAAAATTCCGAAAATAAGCCCCTCCAAATGTAAGCCCCCCAAACCGGTAACGCATAAAACCCTCGGTTAAATCGCCCCTCCAGATATAAGCTCCCCGGGGGCTTGTACTTGGAAAATTGCCCACAAATACAAAGTAAAACAATGCAAAAACGGTAAATTTACTTTCATCTATAAGCCAGCCCGATCGATTTTGAAACGCAAATTTCCCTCCGAAGATAAGCCCCGCCAAAAATAAGCCCCTCATAAAAGCCCTTTGAAAATATAAGCCTCGGGGCTTATTTTCGGAAGTTTACGGTATGCGATTTGCCGCCGAAACGAGCGGGTGCTTGAAATGCAAAATTTGATCTCTTCTTACATGAAGGGGTGAACGTACCCGGTACGGACGATTTTCTCAGTACCAAAATTTGTTGGATGCATAGATTACCTAATTTTCTTACCCGTGGTGCTCCGCTATAAAACTAAGCGAAGACACCAAAAACTGAACGTAACATATTATTTCTTATTACCAGGTCAATATAAACCGCACAAAAATTACTATACCATGTTCTTGAAATATATAGAACACATACCGGGGTTGGGGTTGTAGTACAAGTACAGTGATAGTAATTTTAAAGCAAATATTATTACGTCATTATTATTTAAGGCCGGTTCAAGTATAATTTTATTTATACTCCTCTTGTCCCTTTATTTTCTTTCAGGACATTGCCAACAATGCCAGCGCACAAGCATTCCTTGGTCCTGAAGATGCCGAGGTATGCAGTGTTTACTAATCACAGACCCTTAAGTTCGGATCAAGGATAGTTATAAGCATAAAACACAGTATATCGCTGTTCAGTGTCTACCGTCCTTTTACCACTGAGAGGTCATGTTCTTAAGATTCCGGTGGTTCTTTAATGGTGGGGGCGGTAAATTGTGTTAATTTTGTTCTTAATGTTGTTTTTTGGCCGTTCTAGGAGCCCTACCTTGGAGGAATAAATTACAACTGTGTAGCGCCCGGGAAAAGGTCAGAATATATAGTACTTACTTTTTAAGTTTTGGTTTGTACAGTATTAAGCAGAGCTCTTTGGTTTTACTAATTAGTGTTGTGTAAATGCCCAGGTTCCGACCAATGGATAATTTATCTGGTGGCGAAAAAACTGTAGCAGCACTTGCTCTTCTCTTCAGTATTCACAGGTGAATAAGTAGCTCTGTTTTGTTCTAGATAATAACAATATGATTGTCACATGTAACTTATATCATTCATCGCGTTAGAAACGAGCTTGGAATGTTACCATCATACTTTGAGTGCAAAAGAATCTTAAATGGACCTTGTTACTTTTTTGACTACTGATTTTACGTTATTGCAGCTTTCAACCAGCACCGTTTTTTGTCCTGGATGAAATAGACGCCGCTCTTGACAACACCAATATCAATAAGGTACATTAAAAGCTCCGACAACTGAGATGCAAGAGCTAGGAAGCTTATTTTTAAAACATATGTGGTAACTGACTGTGTAATACGCCAGTACTTTTGTTGAGTCAGGTAGGCGGGATCCGTTCGAGCCTTCGTTTGTCGGCTAGATCAAAGATCCTATGTGAAAAGAAGGAGGCGGCTGTTAAAGGCGTGCCCTACTTGTATAATTAACCGTGGGTTTTGCAGTACGCGTTTTTGTAAATCGTGTCAGTAGACGCCTCCTTATAAAATAACTGTTTATTGTTTACCATCATGAGGAGATTTTATTCGTTTTGCAATGTTAACATACTGCTTCTTTTTAGGTCGCCAGGTACATTATCAGCGAAACTGAAAAACATTTCCAGTGTATTGTGATTTCCCTCAAAGAAGAGTTTTATACCAGGGCAGAAGCTCTTATTGGAATTACTGCTGAAGTTAGTATGCATTTACTCTGATGATAATATTTGGGCGCTGTTTACCGTCCCCCGTCCCCTAAGTAGATTTGGTACTCATTTCCAGGCTTGACTCGGTCGTAAGTGTGTATCATCCCGACGATCTTATGAGAAGTAGGGGATTTTGAACAGTCTAGTTCAGCCCGTGTTTTCATCACTTGAGTTACTGACGTTCATTAATGACGTTTCTTTTTGTTTTCTAGCCTGACAAAGACTGCACAGTGAGCCGAGTGTTCACCTTGGATTTGACTCAGTATCCAGAGTAGTTAGGCTGCCCCCACTCAAACTATTCATCAGTCGGAAAATTTCAAGAAAGCTTTACAGCAGTTAAGGAAAGATAAACCGCTTCATGTAGTCAGGGGATCTCATCTTAAATCTTGTGTTAACGGAACGTGAAATATGTTGTCAAGCCTTTGCAATCTCTTTCTGAACCTGAACTGACCATTATTTACTTTGTTTAAAAAAAGGTTATTAAAAAAAGATGACGCACTTGCAAGGTCTCGCTTTTATTGTCCTCCTCAACACTTTTTTACCTTACAATTCCGCTTATAAATTAATACTAAATATATTTACATTTCCAAAAAATATGTTAAATTAAATACACTAAATTCCGTTAAGTCTGAAATAAAATTAATTTATGAACTAGGAAATATTCAAGCCTGCTTATCGCTAAATTCCACTGACACGAACAATAACTCGTGCAACCGCGTGAGAATTGGCTACGATCTTGCTTTCGATTGGCCGAGAAAATGGCGAAAGATTTTTTTTAGCCAATAAAATGAGTACGAATGAAATAGGTACATTTACTTCGATGCTAAAAATGCTATGAAACGTATTGTTGGTTGCAACGTTGTTATTTTACGTTTGTCTGCAGTAAATAAAAATAATAAATATTGCGTAGATAAATACTGTTGATAAACCTATTTACTGACCATAAAAGAACCTGTACTGCGAAAATATGCGTCAAAAAATACTTAAATTCGGGAAGAGAAGCATGAAATTTTAAAATAGAAAATTGTTGTTTATTTAGAACCAAGAGCATCCTTTTTGCTTGCTCCGTGCTTGCACACCTTCTTTCCTCGTATCATGACCTCATGTAGGGCGTACAGTTCCACTATGGAGTAGGCCATCAGCACAAACGGTGATACGATCCAATGGTAAAGATTTCTAACAAAAGAGATCCTCTCCTTTACTCTCGGCTCCGTCAGCCTGACTGTGACTCGATCCAACAAGAAGATCAAGGCGAAGACAGCGTAGTTGAACACAAGGAAAGCTAACATTCCCCACTCAAGGATGACTGGAACCTCCACAAACAGAAAGTTAACGGAGATCGCCAACGTAACGCTGTAGAGTGACGAGCAACACAAGATAATACCTGTAAAAGGGATGGACAGAATTAAGCGAATTGATTAAAATCGCTCCAAATGTGTGATATCACTTATATTTTCAAAATAAAACCCTGCATGGCGGCTTATTCCGTAAAATCGACAACGGGACAAAGAGAGTCACGTGACGAGTTGTCCTATTACATTGTTGAACCTCATGTAGGGTGTATTGTTATTAATGCTGAAATCAGGGCTACCGATAGCCAATCAAATTGGAGAATTTTGTGAAAGTGATAATGATTATAAATAAAGACAAGTAATTACCATAATAGATGATGAAAGTGATTCCCCAGGACAAGGCAGTAAAGAATGGAATATTGTTTGACTTGACCATGAAGTAGTGAAACACCTCAGCAGCTCCAATGGTCCATCTTCGCGCCTGTCGAGCCCATTCCTCCAACTCCTCCTCAATCACCCTTCCAGATGTTGGACCGGAAAGAGTGGGTACGGGAACCATTACAATGCGAAGCCGTCTCTTGCAGACTCCCATCCACCTGTGACGTCATCAGACAAAAAGGAAAAAGACAGATCAATAACAGTACCATAAATTGACCTTCCCTGCTAAAAATCTAACTTTGTGACCTGCAATAAAATTCATGTCTCAGATCGGTTCTCTAAATCTCCTCGGAATCAATAAACGCTTTTTATTCAACTACATTATTCTTGTTTTTTATGTTACCAGTTCACACTATTAAATAGGATCGCTCCGCGGCCGCTCGATATATGAACCACACTACGTACAATTCCTTGGTTCGCTCTGACGAAGGACTAGCGTGCGAGTTAGCTTTTCAATCTTTTTTCGGTGTAAATTGCCTTTCTTGACTCAGTTGATTAATACTAGCCATGCTCACTCGGCCATAGCGATTCTCAATATAAAGAATATAGCAACACGAATCATGATATAAATGTACTACCGAGGATAAAGTTCAGGAAAAAAGTAATTGTTGTGTTCCTTAAGCGGATTATACACGGGGTGTTCAAAAAGAGTGCAGTTCTCTTTTTTGTGTATGTACGTTGCTTCATCTTACCTTATGAGAGCGATTATATCTTCCATCTGGTATGCAGGATGGATATACTGCCCAGCCATGCACAGAGAAGCTGAGAAGCTGTATATGCTCATAGTGTTGACATTAAATGGAATCATGGCTCCCATCATGAGGAATGCACGCAACATGCCAGTCAATCTGGTAACAACAGATGCTGCATCTAAATTCCAGTTATAGAGTAGTGGTGACTGGAACAAGCAGTTTACCATCTTTCTATCGAGATCTTTTGTTTTAATGAATTCTCGCTCGTATTTGTACTCCAGCGCTTCCATGTATCTTGGATGAAATTTGGAGTCTGCATCGCCAGTTGTTATAAGGATCCTATCTGGATCAAAGTTACTGCCAGCCTTTCTCTTCATGTGTGCTATACTTGTCCTAATGCCACAGTTGCTGTTGGAACACTTTCCTGGGATCTCTCCTTCCATGCCAAAGGGGTGCGTAACAAAAATAAGTTCACGGAATTGTGATCCGAAGAGTTTTGCCAAATCCTGCTGTTTGTTGCACAGGTTCGGAGTTTTTTCCTCGAATGACACCACCATGGTTACTCTGGAAGCAACAGTTTGATTGGCCAGAGTTTGAACTGAAGCAGCAATCAAATCCACAGGCTCCTTATAACAAGCCAAGACTGCTACGTGTTGGATGGGTGTCTTCTCAGCTGTTTGTGCTTCAGGATCCTTGTTACATTTCTTCATCAACTGGTCGCACTTGGATTTGAAGTCCGTCTTTCTGTTCCAAAACATGACCGCTGTAGTTCTTATGGCCAACAAGCAGACGCAAATCCAGAATACGATAAAGGCCCCCTGAATGCTTGGAAGGAGAAAAAGCGAAATCTCTTGGGAGACGAAAGGCAACCAGATAGGAAGAGGAACAAGGATCCACAAGATGAGATTAAAGATCAGATTCCAACGGAAGAGCTGCCTTCCTGTCTTGAGGTTAACGGCTTCTCCTAATTCAACGTCCCCATCATAGCAGACATTTGCAGTTGGAATGTGTTTGTCCAAATTCCCTGTAGTTTCCATATTAGTAGTTTTCTCTGGCTCAGCAGTTGCATTTGAATTAGGCCTACTGTAGACAGTAGCGTAAGGCTGCAATGGGGCAGCCGATGCTGTTCTGGCTAAAGGGGATTCACTTTGTGCCCTTTCGTCTTTTAAAGAATGTAGTGATGCTAAAAAGAAATTCGCTCAACAATTACTTAATGCTTATTTGTATCTGTCTAGAGTACAATTACTATAATCTTAATAAAGAGGAGGAGTGCAGTTTTATGAGTGAAAGGAATATCAGGGACCATGGAGCAAGCTTGGAGGTTGAAAGTGGGGGTGTTTCGGAAGGGGGCTAAGCTGAAACCAGGAACTTATCTACAAGCCTTAAAAAAAACTCACTGGGAAAAATTACTTCAGAATAGAAACAAAAGTTGTTAGTAACGCCATTACCTTACCGTCAAAAATCCAGCCGTTTTTTCAGCAACAGACCATGTGACGAAAGCCGTGGCTTTAAAAGCCTCAAGCAAAGGAACAGATTAAAAAGAAAATTGTTGTAAAGTTTACAAAGAGGTTTTAAAACAAGTGAATGAAAACGAAAGGACTGAAATTATTTTTGCAAGTTATCAATCTGATAATATGAAATAAACTATGTAAAACATTTTTTTTGCCACCGAAGCAACAAGGACGACGACGGGCTACGAAAACGTCAATTAAAAATTGAATTTGCGCTGCCTTATTAAACTTTATCACGCTTATTCCATCCCGTTTAATTCGTCAAAGGCTGGCAAATTTTTTTTCAGTGGAATTCTAAAGCACAGTATCAAAGTTCAGAGGAAAAAAAGGTTGCTGTCGTGTCTTCCAGGCTGTTCTCGACAAAACAGGTAATTAGGCACTTTTACGTTTAACTAACATTAAATCTAAACCAAGAGCCATATAGTCCTATTATGGCTCTTGATCTAAACCCACTACTGTTTCTGAACACTTTCTCTCTCACTCTAACCATTTTCATACTGACATGCAGTTAATCCCACTAGAGAAAATTCATTCTTCACGTGACTCAGTTCGTAAGACTAGGGAGTCGCAATTGATAGATAAGGACATGACTCTTGGACCTCATGGCCTAAACGACCGTGACGAATTATTGTAATCCCTATCCTTAGTATTTTTCCTTTCCAGTTTTTATGTTGTACGTCATTTCCGCCTCTCACTTTAAACCGACTTTTTATTGCGACATTCTCCATCTATATAACATTGTGATTCCTACATAAGTTCAGTAACATCTGTAAACCTGAACAAGGCTGGTATGACCAGCCGAAATATTGTTATGAAAAAACAATACACGTTCTGAATCAGCTTTGCACTGGTCTTTGGACTTCTCGTTTTTAGAAACAGAGTTCGAATCGTGAGGTGAGACTTCAAGACGCTAATTTGTACTAATTTAGACTGTTAAACAAATTATTAGTAATTATCAAACTTTGCAAACACAGCTGTCACATAAGCGTTTTCAGAGCGGACTAAACACACAACTTTTAAACTTATAATGATATTTACGTCTTACCGGCGGAGTGTGCGGTGTTAGAAACAGAGTCCGAATCGTGTAGAATTTCCAAACTGTCGACTGATATTGCGTAATTCAGCAGCCCAACAGGGGAAGTTCCACATACATTTTCATCACTTGGAGGCATTGTTGATTCTAAAATCGGGACAAGGAAGGTGATTATAAAGACCTAAGTAGATTAAGGCCTGGGACTAAGGCGTTTGCTTGTGGAAAATGAATTATTTGCTATATCTTTGGCATAGATGATGGCGCTGAATAAAAGTTTGGCACACATAAAGAATTCATCGTCCTTAACATTTTAAAGTATAAACAGTGTGTTAGAGCGGTTTTCACTTGACTGTCGAAAGGGATTGGTTTTGGTTTTGGTTTTGGTTTTACTACGTCCTTTGGTTGGCTAGTGTATTTACTTTGGTTTTGGTTTTACGACAGTCAAGTGAAAACCGCTCNTCTCGTTTTTAGAAACAGAGTTCGAATCGTGAGGTGAGACTTCAAGACGCTAATTTGTACTAATTTAGACTGTTAAACAAATTATTAGTAATTATCAAACTTTGCAAACACAGCTGTCACATAAGCGTTTTCAGAGCGGACTAAACACACAACTTTTAAACTTATAATGATATTTACGTCTTACCGGCGGAGTGTGCGGTGTTAGAAACAGAGTCCGAATCGTGTAGAATTTCCAAACTGTCGACTGATATTGCGTAATTCAGCAGCCCAACAGGGGAAGTTCCACATACATTTTCATCACTTGGAGGCATTGTTGATTCTAAAATCGGGACAAGGAAGGTGATTATAAAGACCTAAGTAGATTAAGGCCTGGGACTAAGGCGTTTGCTTGTGGAAAATGAATTATTTGCTATATCTTTGGCATAGATGATGGCGCTGAATAAAAGTTTGGCACACATAAAGAATTCATCGTCCTTAACATTTTAAAGTATAAACAGTGTGTTAGAGCGGTTTTCACTTGACTGTCGAAAGGGATTGGTTTTGGTTTTGGTTTTGGTTTTACTACGTCCTTTGGTTGGCTAGTGTATTTACTTTGGTTTTGGTTTTACGACAGTCAAGTGAAAACCGCTCTAATAAGGCACGTGATATGTCACGTGACCATTTGCTAAAAATCGTAAATTATTGACCAATTGGTGGCCGGTTTAAGAAAAGAAATCGGGAAAAAACATTTTTGTAATTCATATTAAATATTTCTAACACTTTACGTTTGGAATGACCGTCCATTGCACTTCAATAAAATATTATGAGGGAAAACATCATTTTAAATACCCAAATTTAATCTTGAATCATTTAAAACTTTAATTTTAAACTTCGCGTACATTCATTCCAAACGTAGAAAGTTAGGTATGTTTGTCATCTTTCAGAAATACCAATTTGTTTATCTAAACAAAGTAAATTCGCCACCAATTCGCCAGTTTCCGTCACGTGACCATAATCTAAACGTTAAGGCACAAGGAAACCTCAAGATTTACTTTTGGGGAAAAGTTCATTTTGTTCTAGGTTTCCTAGCGAAAGATACTGCCATTTATTTATATTTTCAGAACACATCTTTGACCCAGGCCTTAAAACCCCTTGAGATATCACTGTGTAGTTCTCGCCTTTTCCCACCCTAATATTCGTGTTTAGTGATCCAATCAAGTGGCTTCTTCGGCCAAAACCGACATTTCCGATCTGAACGGTGTGTTTTGTTTTAAAAAATTGTTGTTAAAGAATTTACGCTAGACTACTTGCGGGCATACGTGGGTACAGAGGTACCAGAAAAAAAGTGGTAGTTCTTTCCTCAAGTCTGTCATTCACGTTAAATTCCAATCTTATCAGACTTGGGTATTTCTTCAACACCTTCTTCTGTTGGTATGGCTTGATTGAGCCGCAGATCTGAACTGAGGAAAGGGCTCGCTATGATATCCTGTTCAGTCATCAACGGATGCTCAGTATCCTCATTACTGGAGCCCAAGTGTGGAACGAAGTGATTGGAACAAAAGTTCTACCACCTTTCTATTGAGGTCTTTCGTTCTTTAAAAATTGGCATTTAGGGGGACTTTTGCCATTTAAAAACGGCAAAGGAGTTTTTCAATGTATAAACAGTGGCTTTATTTATATGCAATAACCCCCAGACTAGTCCGTCTGGCAAATCGTCCTCTGTCTGTCATGTACGAGACATACAAATAAACATGAACTTTACTTGAGTGTCTAGGTATTGAGGTGGAGAAGCTAATTGGAGACACTAAATGATAATCATTTAAGTCCAAAGAAAAGAATAGAAAACTGAATAGAAATAAATCTGTATACACTTCAAAGCATTTATATATATCCCACAAACTCCTTATTAAGGCGTGTATCTTGGCTAATTTTGCCCTAAAGATACTGGCCTGGAAAAGGAAAATGACCTCGCAAGTTATTAATGTTTATCCAGATTATAAAACATGTTTATTATACAGATATATTCCGGAGCTAGTGATTATTTAGCTTTATACGTTAAAATTAAAATATCCTGTTATCTTTTCTTTGCAAAACTTGGCAGGCTAGCCTTCTTTAAGAGATCACAGTAACATGATATGTCTCATTTATTTCCCTTGTCCTTTTTTTTGGTTTTGTGTTAAGTTTTACGAACCTTTGACTTTTTTCAGGTACCCCCAGCACGTGCGTACGTGCTTACAAGTAGCGAAACTCCTGATTGCTAGAATAAGAATAATTTGTTTTTTTCTCTCGTTATCTGTCACACTCATTAAATTCCAATCTCACCAGACTTGGGTATTTCCACAACACTTTCTTCCGTTGATATGGCTTGATTGAGGCGCAGTCTTGAAGAACAGGCCTCACTACATCCTGTTTCATCAATTGAAGACATAACTGAGTACAGCTTGAGTTTCTCTGATGAAAACCTAAGGAGGTATTAAACACCAACTGCAGTTCTTTGATATAGAGTAAGGTTTATTCCTAGGTAAAAGGCGAATTTGAAGATATTTCAGGTCAGCTCTCGTTGCCTCGAGATTTTTTTTATTTCCTCTCTTTGGTAATTACGCTGACGATGCTGACTGTAGTATGTGGTTATAGAGTACTAGAGTGTGACGTCATAAAAATGAAATTTCTGAAATTATGGGATTTGTCAGGATATTCTGAAAGAACAATGTTCAAGAGGCCTACTTGCCAAAAATGAGCAGTTGGGGGCAAATTGTCTCTGAGATCGTAGCCCAGTTATGCTTACAAAACTCCATACAAACCCTTCTAAATTTTTTTGGGGTCGACCCAAGAAAAAATTAGAAGGGTTTGTATGGAGTTTTCCATCACTTTAGTACTCTATATCCAACTAAAACGCTTTCCTCCATTGGCCATGACACACTGATCTCTTGAGAAGTATAATTGAGAATATTGCTATTCATTTCTTTTCCTATTTCTTTTGGTATTGATGAAAAAAATTCGTTGGAGAATGAGTATTCTCGGAGGCTGTTATCCGCCGAGGCCGAAAAGCCATAAGTCTTCACATCATACACATAAATCTTCACATCATACACAGCCTCACTCAGTAATTGTTAAATAACTGAGATCCAGTGAGCCATTGAGAAAGCTACTAACCTGCGATCAGGCGTTTTTTTTTTCTTCACGTGATTTGCAGGTGTCATCTTGTTTAAGTCCGTTAACGATCGTTAACTATTAAGAGGGATGGAGAGACTTTGGACCCAAAGGCCTCACAGCTTTTTCGTTCATAGCGCTTCGCGCATTTGCAAGTTTTTTTTAAAAAAAAGAGAGGAGAGAATCGATAGGGAAGTGAGTAATCAGGTGAAAGTTGGAAAATAAAACAAGCTCCCATGTACCTCCGCATTAACTTCTTTCAGATATTTTTCAAAATAAAATGCGATGTTTTCCCAATTGTTCACGCGTGGAAACTGTACATATGTCTGTCCTAGTTACGCCTCTGTGATTTCCAGTAAACTCCCTCTGTAGAAATCATCGGGTGCTAGTGTTGCCACCAAGATATACGTTTTTTTAATCCTGTCTTCATTGTTGGCAAGACCGAAGTAAAGCAATGATGAGACGAATCCAAAAAATAGACAGATTTGTTTTTCTTGCTTTCATTATTAAGTCGAGTCGCCTGCGGGCGATCCTAGATCTTAAATTTCCGGGTGTATTCTCCACTTTTTTCTTTAGATACCTTACCACTGTAAATGAATTACTGATACAAGTTTCTTTTTTAATTCATGATTACCAACAGTATCAAGTTCCAACTACTTTCGCACTAAGCACTCATTTGATGATCCAGTGAGAATCAGCGGCCGAAAAGCAAACCTGAAATACTGAAGTTCTTTTCTTACGTTTACCCAGTTATATACGATTTCCTTACTTTGGGCTAAGCCAACCTTTTCTCAAAAAATCTAAGAACATGCTTGTTTCTGCCCGGCTGTCGCTGTTAGAATTTGTGTTGGCCAGACTGGGTCACATATGTTCTCCCGTGCAGTTGCATTCCCGCGACCGGGATGTCATACATGCAACCAAAAACCGGCTATAATAAAGAATTACTCCAAATAAAGTGTTTTGTATTTTTAAGCATTTTTAGTCATAACGAAAATTGACTAACCTTTTTTTTTCCTGGCTGAGACACTCAGACCACCTGGTTGATGCAATACCACAAGATATCGACAGCTTAAGGAATAGGGGGTGACTTTTATGACAAACGACTTCTGAAAACCCTGTTGCCACGGGGTCCAATCAAATTTTAGATCTTTTTCGTGACGTAAAAAGGCTCTCTAAACTACTCAATTTCATCATGATCTTAACAATTCTCGAATAGTTTGGTGGTTTTGCTTGAGTTAACTTTTTCTTTAAAGGGTCTGTTACTTCTTAGCTATTTGACGTTCCTTAAAGGTATAATACTGTTAAGTCAAAACTTACCCGGCCAACCAATTGTATTCTAGTTTTTTACTGTATTTCCTTTGCCTTAAACGACTGATATTCCTGATACACGTTAAAAAGGTATTTCTTTCGAAATATGCAACGTATTTCTGGGTATTTGTGCAAAGCACATTAAACAAATTTAAACCTTATTTCAGAACCACAGATTCACGACAGCAAATTAATTATTTCATACACCTGTTCATTTTGATATGGAGAATTAGACTGGCTTCAAACAAATAAGTAATGATAGATTAGTAGCATGGTCAATTTAAAATCTAATGTCTATAAAGCTTGGACAGTCCAATATCCTTTTATACACTGTGCAGGGTGTCTACGGCTTACTCAGAGCCGGCTAACGTGATTTAATAGTTGATGTTCGTGAACTGAGTTTAATGCAATGTTCCAGGTTCAGTATTCGAAGACAAAATAACTATTCAGCAACATCTTACTTTGCTTTCGCACACCGTATCAGAAGCACTTAGACCAAAGGACAAATAAGCTTATTATGTTCATCATTCCTGTTTTGCATCCTATACGCAAGAGCTTAATTATATTGGTGAGTTTAAAAGTTAGATCAAACATACAATTGTCGTCATTTTGAAACTTTTAAATACACCCCATGAGAAGCTTAATTTAAGTCAATAACAAGTCCCCCCAAATGAGGGTACATTGGTCTGCCGGTTTAAGTAACAACTTGTCATGCTGCGCCAAAATTGTCCCCCATTTTAAAAATTCTAGTCGTGGTTAAAGAAAGTAGAACTTTAAAATGTTATTTGTGAGTTTATTTCTTTATAATAAGCCACATAAATTCATGGTGATATACGCAAGCAAGAAATGTGGACTTCTAAACTGCGGATGCTTCACGCTTGACTGAAATGAAACGTGACTTTCAGCATGCTAAGAGAGAAAAATCGACCAAAACACTGTTGTCCCCAAAATTGTTCCCCCCCTTCCAAAGACCTTGAAGTGACAGGACACGTAACGCCGGCGCAACCCCCTCTTGGTTATACGTCCGCCATTTTGTGTTTTTTTAACATGACGCTACTAAGAACTTATTTGGGCGTTGCCGAAGGCAGCCAAATAAAAAACAACGTCCATTTAATAAAAATTATTTAGTCAACTCTTCATGTTTATTGTCTCATACATAGTTGGTCCTTTTTGGGTGGAGAGGAGAGGAGGGGAGGGGAGGGGATGTTTTGGAACTTTTTGCAAAGAGCGCCGGCCTGTCGGTCTCAACCCTTATCAAGCAAAAAATTAAAAATCAAAGTAAAGCAATTTTTTTTAAGGAGCTGCGTCACAACATTTATCAAAATTCAAACAAAGAGAGCTGCCACCAAATTGTGTGAAATATTAAAGTATGAGTTGAAAACATTCAAAGAAGGTATGAGTAAAAAAAACAAGTACAAAACGAAGGCACAGATGGACAAACTTGAAGAAGATTAAAACGGATTACATTTGAGGTTTTTGAAAACTTGTTAGCCTAACAGGTTTTCAAAGTTCATTTTTGTTGTTTGTAGCGTTTTTGATATAATGCTCAGGGAGAGTTGTTGTTTGATAAGCAGCTGTGATGTTGGACATGTTGTCATTTATTGAGTAAATTCCTCTTTAACGTTAAATTCCTTAACGAATAAAGACGCGTTATGGGCAATGTTAACCCAATGAACTAGACAGTCATTAATGAACAGCTACATTTTTAGCGGTTCCGACTTAAGATGACTAACTTTCATGTTTGCAACCCAAACCAAATCATACATAGTTCGGTAGTTATGCTTCAGCAAAGATAAGCCCCTTTGGACTTGCTACATACTAATTTGGATTTCCTGCATACTAATTTTTGACTTCCTCCATACTAATAAGGATACTATATTTCCTGCAAAAGAATGACTGATTGAATAATTGTAACTTTCTGTTGAATTTCCGTTTCATGTTTCTCAAAACAGCTTTATTTAATAGCAAATTTATATATAAAAATAAATATAAGGAAGGATCTCTAGCCACAACAGAATACACTCACATGAAACATTGCCCCGATTTAATCTGTCTATTTTACCAATATCGTTACATCCAGTTGAGGCAAAGTAAATTAAAGCTTCTAAACAATACGCAATTCATCAACATGGCGACATATTCAATGTTTTAAAAAACCTGTCTCTCATGAAAAAAGGAAAGTGTCAATGTTAAGACGGTTAAGTGCCTTGGTCTCTTGTTGATACTCGTAACCTCGGAACAGTCCAATACACCTTACATAGAAGTCAGGTCAAGCGTACACCATAGATTTTTTTCGTTAATTGATTACATATTTAATGAATTAATTGTGTAAAAGCTGAATCTGTTAGCCGTTGCCATTACTTACTGATTGTATAATGAAGAGCAATTTAGACTACGGTCAGATTTAAACATCTTTCAGACTTTGAACGGATAAAATATTGTCCCGTGAAGACATTTTATTGAGTTCAAAAAGAAAGCTGAACTCCATTCGCAAAAAGTATTCGCAAGGAATTTACCGCTCATTGCGTATGCAAGTATAAAGGAATGAATCTGATATTGGCAACGTAGCTTGATTGTAATGATTACAACTATATACCAAACATGACGCAGGGCGTTCTGGAAAGGACAGCTAATGCTTTTTTCGTTACAGAAAAACTTAGAATTCTCATTTTCCACTAAAGTAGTCCATCTATTGATCGCACAGATTTTGAATTCAAAGAAAAAACTTCTGCAAATCCAGCAGATTAAAGCCATCTTTAGGCACCGGTTCCTCAATCTCAATCTGTCTAGACATAGCTGACAGACAAATAACTATTCAAAGTTCCTTGTTCAATTCTTGGCTGGGACCGAATTCATCCTTTTTTATAGAAACGTTTTTTAGTGTTACTTCACTAGTGTAGCCCCAACAGAGGCTTCACAAAACTGAGTCAGCTGAGTACTGTAGCCAGATAATCCCGTTAAGCCCCCTAAGAGAAAACGAAACCGGCTCTCTTAAATTTCCTAAGGATGCTAATATGCTTATGTTTATTACCTGTTTTAGAAATAATAAATTTACATTCACGTATTTCGTTCGAATCGCTCCAACTTCCTTAGCCATTTAGGCAGATCATTTTCACCTGCAGTTTTGTTCTGGCGTAGTGCCTTTCCTATTCAGGGAGGGTTTACTTTGTTTAATTACCAATGGCATCCTGAACTTGACACTTGATGATGTGGTCTTCATTGATCAGAACTTTTACGTTGTTTGAGTTGATGTTTCGTCCCAATTGCCTGGTAGTGAGCGAACACGGCAGAAGATGCCTGGGATTGGTACTCTCGGATATACGTAACAGCGATTCGAGCGTAGTAGTGGAACTTAACATTTAATATTTGCTCTGACTTTTGAAATTTTCTCAACGACAATGTCTTCGCCAGGACAGAAGAACAACATTTTCACAAATATTTTAACAACATGCCCAAATCTGATAACTCAGGGATCTATATATAAGTTTAGTTAATAGGGAGTTTAAGCTTCACGTGTTGTGTTGAAATAATGAACAGTAAACGATAAGTAAAGGGAAAACTTGGTCATGTGGTACAAATTCGCACTTTCCGTTTGACGTAAAGGTGATGCTTAACCTCTCTAATCATGCATTGTTGATACCCTAACCCTGTCAGTGATCAGTCCAATATACCTTAGTGTCGGAAAAGCACTCAGAGGCCTTTTTTTTTAATGACTGAGCAAATTTTGTTCCGTTCTAGATTAAAAAAAGACGCCTTTTCTCACTAACGTTCTCCATTCTTTCGTTTCACAGATTTGTAATGCAAAGAAAAATCTTCTGCAAATCCCGCAGAGTCAAGCTTTTCAGGTTTTATTGGTTTCAATCACTGATCAGAGCCATCTTGAGGCACCGGTTCTCCGTTTGTATGTAGGACTTCTTGTATTCCCCATTACCGTTACCATCCTGCTCTACATAGCAGCATAAAGACAAATAACTAAAGTTTCTGATTAAAATTGTTGGCTGGGACTGTTTTGCAGTGTAGACCATGAGGTACATTAAAAACTTCCCGGCAGCGTGATTTCCCTTGCCTCGAACAGGAATTTTATCTACCAATAAGGAAGTTATTATTGGAATTACTGCGTAAGTAAGTATACATCGACTCTGGTATTATTTGAGCTCTGTTAGTTAAACACTCGACTGATCCAAAAGTTCAGTTCATGCTTTCAACACTTTAGTTAATGACGACTGTAGCACGGATTCAGTAATGTCGTGTTTCTCTTTTTTTCTTAGCCTGACAAAGAGTGTGCCATTTGTATACCCGAAATTTGACTCAGTACTATCCTACAGTAAATTAGCTGCAACCAGACAAGATCTTCCACTATTGGACCATATTTAAAAAGCCGTTTAAATTAAAAGTAATTGAGAAACGAAAATATACCTGAAGATAAAATATACTCATAGCTCGCTGTTTTGTTGAGGGGACCAATTTATACATGGTGATAATTCAATCATTATTTATTGTTCGGTAGAAGCTTTTAGCGACTAAGCGGATACAAACCAATGCACGTACGCCCGAGTGTACGTGTCATTGCATATTTTAAGAAACTGCGAGAAACTGTTAAGCTGATGTATTCCATGCACCGCTTGCTGCCTTGTTTTGTAACCAAGGAGAGATTTCAGTAAACAGACCCCTCCTTCCCTTTGCGCATGTCAGTAAACAAACCCTTCGTCCTATTACGCATGTCTTTTTCAAGAAGGAACTTTTCAGGTAGTACTGACCAATGGTGAGGAAGTGTGGAAGATGTTAGTTAGAAGATGCGATTAAGGTTTGAGAACCATTTTTTTATTATTGAATAGTAGCGCATAGTACGTAGGTGTGTAGCATGAAAGGGAAATAATGCTTTTAGGTCCACAAACAACAGACAACATTTCTTCGTTACTTAGTGACTTACATTCGTAAATGGCAGATGGCACTAAGCATGGCCAAAATAAGAGTAACTAAATTCACTTACTCTGTTCAGACCATTAACAAGATGACACGCTTGACAGTTCTTACTACTTGTTTTTATTGTCCTCCATGTTTCCTTACAGTTACGCAAAGTTAACTGCACAGTCTAACCTCTCCTTACGGACACCTCTCTATTACGGACAGTCCGTTTGGTCCCAGAAATGCCAAAAATCATACATTCCCTATCTCTATAATACGGACGCCTCTGTAAAACGGACACTTGGTTCTGTCCCTTTGGCTGCCTGGCTCCGCTAGCTCCCATGGTTATTCCAGGCAGCCACTTCTCTAATTTTTTACTTTTAATATTTTCATTGTTGTAAGTTATTTTTGAACAAGAGTGAGTACAAATAAAGATTGTTGTTATCGTTTTTGTTGTTGTTATCTTAAAGAGGTTTGACTGTACTAAAATATTCCATTTACCAAACATACATGAGATTAAATACATGAAATGCCCACAAATCTAAAAATAAATTAATCTGTCAAACTGAAATCTCTGACACTGGTTATCACTTGTTTCCGAATCAAGAACAATGACTTGTGTAACTACGTGAAGTTTGGCTACGATTTTGCTTTTGACTGGCCGAGAAAATCGCGCAAGATTTTTTAGCCAATCAGATAAAGAATAAAATAGCTACATTTACTTCGACAGTCTGTACAGAAAAAGCTATTAAATATATCCTTCTTTTCAATATTATTCTTGTTGTTGTTGTTGTTGTTTTACTGACGTTTGTCTTGTCTTCCGCTTTAAATAAAAATAATAAATACTGAACGTAGATAAATACTGTTGATACTCTTATTTACTGGCCATAATAAACCACATACTGCAAAACATGCGTTAAAAAATACTTTAGTTAGAAAAGAGAAGCAGATATTTTAAAACAGAAAGAGTGTTGCTTATTTAGAGCCAAGAGCATCCTTTTTGCTTGCCCCGTGCTTGCACACCTTCTTTCCTCGTATCATGACCTCATGTAGGGCGTAGAGTTCCACTACGGAGTAGGCCATCAGCACAAACGGTGATACGATCCAATGGTAAAGATTTCTAACAAAAGAGATCCTCTCCTTTACTCTCGGCTCCGTCAGCCTGACTGTGACTCGATCCAACAAGAAGATCAAGGCAAAGACAGCGTAGTTGAACACAAGGAAAGCTAACATTCCCCACTCAAGGATGACTGGAACCTCCACAAACAGAAAGTTAACGGAGATCGCCAACGTAACGCTGTAGAGTGACGAGCAACACAGGATAATACCTGTAAAAGGAATGGACAGAATTAAGCGAATTGATCAAAATCGCTCCAAATGTGGGATATCAGTTTTAGTTTCACAATAAAACCCTGTATGGCAGCTTATTGCGTAAAATGGAGAACGGGACAAAGAGAGTCACGTTATGTGTTGTCCTATTACATTGTTGAACCTCATGTAGGGTGTATTGTTATTAATGCTGAAATCAGGGCCACCGATAGCCAATCAAATTGGAGAATTTTGTTACAGTGAAGATGACGATTATAAATAAAGACAACTAATTACCATAATAGATGACGAAAGTGATTCCCCAGGACAAGGCAGTAAAGAATGGAATATTGTTTGATTTGACCATGAAGTAGTGAAACACCTCAGCAGCTCCAATGGTCCATCTTCGCGCCTGTCGTGCCCATTCCTCCAACTCCTCCTCAATCACCCTTCCAGATGTTGGACCAGAAAGAGTGGGTACGGGAACCATTACAATGCGAAGCCGTCTCTTGCAGACTCCCATCCACCTTTGACGACATCAGACAAAAAGGAAAAAGACAGATCAATATCAGTACCATAAATTGACCCCTCCTTGCTAAAAATCTAACTGAGACGTGCAATATAATTTATCTTAAACCCTTTCCGTTCAACTAAATTGTTCCTGCTTTTCATGTTGCCATGTTCCATACTAATCAAACAGGTCTTCCTTTCGATATTTTAACCACACTATCTACAATCCCTTGAGTCTCCCGCAATGGTGGTAAATTGCCCTGTTCGACTCAGTTGATAAAAGGAAATTCTAGGGATTGTATGTTTGCTTCGCCATAGCGGCTCTCAATGGATGGAGTGAAGAAACGAATCATATTAAGTATTTAACTACCGTGGACAAATTTCAGGAGAAAAAAATGATGTATTTAGTTTAAGAGATGAGGAATATTTGTGGAAAGTACGATTCTTATTTATTTAGTATTACTTCATCTTACCTAATAAGACCGATAATATCATCCATCTGGTATCCTGGGTGGATATACTGCCCAGCAATGCACAGAGAGGCTGAGAAGCTGTATATGCTCATAGTGTTGACATTAAATGGAATCATGGCTCCCATCATGAGGAATGCACGCAACATGCCAGTCAATCTGGTAACAACAGATGCTGCATCTAAATTCCAGTTATAGAGTAGTGGTGATTGGAACAAGCAGTTTACCATCCTTCTATCATCGTGGTCTTTTGTTCTCATAAATTCTCGCTCGTAATTGTACTCCAGCGCCTCCAAGTATCGAGGATGAAATTTGGAGTCCGCATCGCATGTCGTTATTAGGATCCTATCTGGATCAAAGTTACTGCCAGCCTTTCTCTTCATGTGTGCTATACTTGTCCTAATGCCACAGTTGCTGTTGGAACACTTTCCTGGGATCTCTCCTTCCATGCCAAAGGGATGCGTAACAAAAATAAGTTCACGGAATTGTGATCCGAAGAGTTTTGCCAAATCCTGCTGTTTGTTGCACAGGTTCGGAGTTTTTTCCTCGAATGACACCACCATGGTTACTCTGGAAGCAACAGTTTGATTGGCCAGAGTTTGAACTGAAGCAGCAATCAAATCCACAGGCTCCTTATAACAAGCCAAGACTGCTACGTGTTGGATCTGTGTCTTGTCAGCTGTTTGTGCTTCAGGATCCTTGTTACATTTCTTCATCAACTCGTCGCACTTGGATTTGAAGTCCGTCTTTCTGTTCCAAAACATGACAGCTGTAGTTCTTATGGCCAACAAGCAGACGCAAATCCAGAATACGATAAAGGCCCCCTGAATGCTTGGAAGGAGAAAAAGCGAAATCTCTTGGGAGACGAAAGGCAACCAGATAGGAAGAGGAACAAGGATCCACAAGATGAGATTAAAGATCAGATTCCAACGGAAGAGCTGCCTTCCTGTCTTGAGGTTAACGGCTTCTCCTAATTCAACGTCCCCACCATAGCAGACATTTGCAGTTGGAATGTGTTTATCCACATTCCCTGTAGTTTCCATATTAGTAGTTTTCTCTGGCTCAGCAGTTGGATTTGAATTAGGCCTACTGTAGACAGTAGCGTAAGACTGCAATGGGGCAGCCAATGCTGTTCTGGCTAAAGGGGATTCACTTTGTGCCCTTTCATCGTTTAAAGAATGTAGTGGTACTATTAAAAAAGAAATTCGTTCAACAATTTCTTAATGCTTATTTGTATCTGTCTAGGGTGCAATTACCGCTATATCTTAATAAAGAAGAGGAGGGCAGTTTGATGAGTCCAAGGAATATCAGGGACCACGGAGCAAGTTTCGAAGTGGGGGTGTTTGGGGAGGGGGCTAAGCTGAAACCAGCTGGAACTCCTTATCTACAAGCCTTAAAAAACTCACTAGGGAAAACATTAAGTCAAGGCAAATAACTTCCGATAGAAACAGAAGTTGTTAGTTTTACAATCAAAAATCCTGAACAGTTTTTTCAGTAACATGTGACGAAAGACGGGGCTTCAAAAGTCTTAAGTAAACGGACAGATTAAAACAAAAAAATTGTTACAAAGTTTACAAAGAGGTTTTAAAACAAGTGAATGAAAACGAAAGGACCAAAATTATTTTGTAAGTTATCAATCTGATGATCTAAACTATGTAAAACATTTCTTTTCGCAACTGTCTTTGCAAACACAGCTGTCACATTAGCGTTTTCAGAGCGGACTAAACACACAACTTTTCAACTTATAATGATATTTGTGTCTTACCGGCGGAGTGTGCGGTGTTAGAAACAGAGCTCGAATCGTGTAGAATTTCCAAACTGTCGACTGATATTGCGTAATTCAGCAGCCCAACAGGAGAAGTACCACATACATTTTCATCACTTGGAGCCATTGTTGATTCTACAACGGGACAAGGAAGGTGATTAATAAAAATATCACAGTGTAGTTCTCGCCTTTTCCCACCCTAATATTCGTCCTTAGTGATCCAATCAAGTGGCTTCTTTGGTCAAAACCGATCTAGTCATTTCCGATCTAAACGGTGTGTTTTGTTTAAAAAAATGATTATTAAAGAAAAGAAAAGCCAATATTACACCTGCGTAAGGTCAAGCTTGTGCCTCTTTGCAGATGACAGCAAGGTTTACAGAATTATTTACGACGGAAACGACGAGAAACAACTTCAATGTGACCTCAACACACTACAGAAATGGAGTGAAAATTGGCAACTTCGTTTTCACCCTGACAAATATGAGGTTCTACGTGTTACCCGTGCGAGAGATCATACTATGTAGCTATCCTTAGAAGCTCTCTGGTTGTACGCTTCAGTCTGTCACCGAAACAGTTGATTTGCGGGTCTCATTAACTTCTAATCTATCCTGGAAGACCCAAACGCAGAAAGTTGTAAATAAAGCCAACAAGATTGTGGGTTTCCTTAAAAAGAATGTTGGGCAAGGGAACAAGGAAGTCTTTTCTCGTGTCTACAAGGCCTCAGTTTATACTCACTGGAATCTGGTCACCCTGTTTAAAGAAGAACATTGACACTCTCGAACGAGTCCAACGTAGGGCCTCGAAATACGCTCCCCCGATGTTATCTAGGGACTCTCCGTACGAAGAAAGAGCCGGGAAGAAAGACTAGCAATGCTTGGGTGGTCCAGTCTTCAATTAAGGAGGTCCGTATCTATCTTTGCTAGAGTGCTACAAGCCTATTCATGGTCTTAATGGCCTTAACTGTAATGATTATTTTGAATTTAATTGTTATGGTAAAACAAGATCAAACCATTTATTTAAATTAAGACAGCCATTAGCTAGAGTAAATTGTGTTTTTTTTCAGTCATTCTCTGCCCGGTTCAAACGTCGAACTTTACATGGGCCGAACCTAATACCTAGTATTTAGGTTGACCTAAACTATTAAGTTCGATTGTTGATTCAGACGGTCGAACTTTACATGTGCCGAACCTAATTCGTGGCGAAAAGAAATATCATCCTTACAGCTTAAAATAGGGAAATAAACTGAAAAAAGTATAATTCACCAAGCCTGGAATTTCTTGTTTTGATTTTAGTGTGATTTGTGTTCTGTTATGGCAAGGAGACACTAAGATCGTGATCGTGAGATTTGGACAAAATAAAGTAACGCCATAAATTTTAAAATACATTACGATTTCTTTTATGTATCCTTACATAATAAGTATTTGATTAATTAATCGAATTATGCTAGACTACTTGCGGGCGTACGTGAGTACAGGTAGTGAAGCCACTGATTGCCAGAAAAAAAAAAGTTGTTGGTTGTTCTTTCTCGTTATCTGTTATTAACGTTAAATTTCAATCTTACCAGACTTACGTATTTCTTCAACACTTTCTTCCGTTGATATGGCTTTACTAAGCCGCAGATCTGAAGGACAGGCGCCGCTATATCCTGTTTCATCAACTGGAGGCATATTGTAAGGTACAGCTTGAGTTTCTCTGATAAAAACCTGAGGAGATTAATGAACACCAGTTGTATTTCTCTCTTGTCTACTGCGTCTATTGTTAGAGTAAGATTTAGTTTTAGTTGAAAGTCGGAAGCTCTCGGAGTTGAAAGTATTGTACATAGATTAACTCTCTTTGTCTTGAAAATTCAATTTCCACCTTTGGTCAATTTACACGTCTCTCCTAAGAAGTATAATCTATTTTCATTTATGATTAACATGATTTGTGGGTCGAAAGAAAATGAAGTTGAGCTTGAACTGACAATTGAGAAAGACACCTGCATATATCATCCTAAATAACTTCCTATATTCCTTTCGATGCTCTGATTTTGTGCTCATTGATATTTGGGTTAAGGACCGAATATTCACACGGTAATAGGTCATAAGAGACACATCACTATATCTCTTTAAGAAAACTGGGGACAGGGTCAGGTAAGGGATAAACTGACTGAGGAGAGACAGGCTCCGTAATAACATTTAGACCTGAGTTAATCTTACCACGTAATTTGTTCAGACATCCCGAATAACTCGTTAGCTATCAAAATTTGTTTCTACCAATATTAGAGCACCGGAGACACATCACTGCATCTCCGGCTCCAGAAAAGGACTAGGTGTAGGAGATACACGGCTCTGCAACAACGCCGTTTAGACCTGAGTAATTCGCTAATCTACTGGCCCAAATTGTTCAATCCTGATCCCGAATGACCCGTTAGCTTATTTAATATCAAAACATCATTGTATCTACTACAAAACCAACTCTCCATAAAAATGTAGACATGTGTTCCAAAGCTAATAATTGATTGCTTGTCAAATACTTTAAGTGCTCAACTTTAAGCGTTCAACTTTAAGTGTTCAACTCACCTACTTGAGGAAGGTAGCGGGACCTCTGGAAACAGCCGCAGACAAAACATAGCTCCAGTGAAAGTTGCATCTGCTTTTATACATGCAGTTAGTGGAAATATTCCACTTTTTTGTTTTCAAAGATGGATTTCCTCTTACGTAAGCGTTTGATTCCGTGTTTAGCACGTGGAAAAGTCATGTCAAAAGTATCATGTTTAATTCTTGACGGCCGGAATTACGTTTGTGTTCCTAGGCTATCAGTTAGTACTGTTCATTTTATGTTACCCAATTATGACTCCGCATAATTATTTTAAGGCTTCTCGCCTTTAAGTCCCCTGTGATGTTTCGTCATTTTTTTTTTTTTACTTAATAGTGCTAAGTATACCACCACGTATATATCAAATTAGCAGTATTTTTTATATTTTTGGCTTTGCTTTAACATTTTAAAATACTTTACACAAAAACAAAGCAGATGAAAACTTAAAAAAAAGGATAAAATAATATAACTTAACATTTTTTTAGAAAAAACAGAAAAGTTGTTTTGGAGATAAAAATATGAAAAAGGGATTTCATTTCATGAACCATGAGATAGTAATCATAATATTCACTAGCCCCGGGGGAGGAGAGTTCTTGGCGAGTTCTAGTGAGTTCTTTTAGGGGCAAATAACAAGTACCTTGTAAAGTGTGACTTGATCTAAGATCTCCTACTCACACGTTTATTGTAATCTTTTAAATTTTCGTGCCCTGTGCACAATTCTGGAATTCTCTGAAGAACTGAAGAACTTCACTATTAACTCAGCCAGTTAACTTTCGAGCGTACCTCGTGCTGTATTTGAATTTCTCGATCATTTTACAGACAGTGAATGTGTTAGTTGCCGGCAAAACGGTCAAATCAGCTACTAACCCAGTACATAACGTCCTTGTTCATGACCGGGTGAGGGTTTATAACACTTGTATCGCCTTTCGATAAATGGAAGTCAATGACGCATCTTTTGGTTGCAGTGTTTATATAAACCATCTTCCATTCTTTGAAATGCTTGCTAAGGCTTTGCAAAACAATAAAAAATCCTTCTATAAAAATAACTTTAAAAAAACCACCTCTAACGCGCTTTAACTTGTGTCATTTGATGTCAATTTTTTTTACTAATGGTCACGTCAATTTTGGGGTCTAGCCTTGCAGTTTGGTAAGTCACACGTACAAAGCTTCTTTTAGTAAAATGTACCAAATATGGTCTGAACATTTCACTGGAAATTGTAAACAAAACCCGTTTGAATAATTCAGTCAACTGTCGCTGTTTTTTTATCTTTTAAATAGTTTAATCAACGTAATTCCCATGTAGACAGTTAGACAGAAAACACTAGTACAGTAGTCGGTGTATTAGTTGATATAGGTGACACTACCGATTGCGTCGTGCAGTGCCTCACCCCACCCAACACAAATATTGCCCTGTCATTGTTACTGGGACGCCGTCTTTTGAGATCTTTTGACCTCGCTACCGAACCGCTTATGACATCATCACAAATGCAGTCAATACTAACCTCAAAACATGATTTACTATTAAACTAAGAGTTTCGTTTACTTCAGTGCCCTTTAAACATTGAAAAGGAAATTCAACATGAGAAACCTTTGTGCTGCAGCTACAGTGGAACTCCGTTAATACAGTCACCAATGGGCCAAAAAGTTTTGGCCGTCGGGTGACCGTATTCACGAGGGTTTTTTTTACAAGAAAATGTTTGGCCGTTTTGCCGCGCGGCCAAGAAAAATATTGGCCGTAATAACGAGGTGACCTTATTACCGATGTGGCCGTGAGGCGGGATTCCACTGCACAACATCGTTGATGGTGGTAGGGGTGGGGGACCTTATCGGAGACCAAAACACAAAATTAAGACATATTTTATTTTTGTAACATAAAAACAAAGAAATCAAAAATTAAAGGATCAACATCAAATTTTACATCCAAGATTAAAATAGTTCATACAAATAAAACACCATGTGTCAAAAAAGTTTAGTAACTATAATATATGATAGAAAATCCGTTTAAATATATTTTACATCACATTTAAAGTTAACTTCGGAAGCTCAAAATATCTTTGCTGACCAATGATTCATAGCATTTACTTGTACAAATTTCTTTTCTCAAACACGGTTAAATAATCAACGACAACATGCATTGCATTATTGTCCAAGCCGGAGTGAGGTCAAGATCACCCTGTACCATTTCCCCATAACATTTTATGGATCGAGACCGCCGCACTCGACCACGTTCGGTCAAAAAAAAAAATATGGGAACATGGAGCTATTTTGAGCTGGCAAGATAGGTTGGGGATTGCTTGGAAAGTAACTATTCAAACAATTAAAATACCGTAAAATTCCGAAAATAAGCCCCTCCAAGTATAAGCCCCTCCAAATATAAGCTCCCCAAACCAGTGACGCAAAAAAACCTCCGTTAAATCGCCCCTCCAAATATAAGCCCACCGGGGGGCTTGTACTTGGAAAATTGCTTTCAAATACAAAATAAAACAAAGCAAAAACGGTCAATTTACTTCGAACTATAAGGCTAGCCCAATCGATTTGTAAACGCAAATGTCCCTCCGTAGATAAGCCCCTCCGAATATAAGCCCCTCCAAAAATAAGCCCCTCAAAAAGGGCCACTGAAAAATATAAGCCCGGGGCTTATTTTCGGAATTTTACGGTATATTTATAAAGTAATTTAAAATAAATCCGAATAAACAACAATATTACGCTTCTCGAGAAGTGACTGTCAATACAATTGAGTGTATTTTTAAATGCTATTTTTTTTGTCTCGTAAATTGTTCAAATGTTCTCCTAAGATCTTACTGAATACCATCACTTAAAAAGAGTTTTGCAACTGCTAAATTTCGCGAAATTCCACCAATGGATGTTGCTAAGGCTACTCATAACCTTTGAAATCACCTAGATACGGCTAAAATTGTAGACTGTCGGCCTTGCCTCCAAAACTAGACATCTTATTCAATGTCTCAATGAGGAATTTCACCGAAATTAACCACGCAAATATCAGCTCACTTTCCCGCTCAACATCTAAAGTGGAATGTTTTTATTTAATTCGAGATAAACAACAATACAGCATCGTAAAAAATTGCCTAGCGTTTGTTGCACGGAAACTCCTAACACTTGATAAAATTACTTGAAACAAATGGCTAGATGTCCTCAACATCTCTAAAATGTCATGATTTCAAACGATTCTTGCCATTGTCAATAATCAGTTGTTTGTTATAACTTGTCAAGGTATAAAACTTGTTCTTTTTTAGAAATGCCGTCACCTAACTCCTTTTATTTCTGTAAAGAAAAATATTTACAGATATTTACAACGAAAAATATCTATAAAAAAATTTCCGTTGTGTCCAACCCGCCTCAATTAGTATTTCTGCTATTTTCGGGACTTCACTTCCTGTAATATTATTTGCTGATGGAAATAAAAGTTGTTGACCGCGTTGTTATTACTTTTTACCGAGAGTAAATGGAAAATTTTTAGCCTTAGTAAGAATTTATAAGCGGTCCTGTCGTCGCGAAGTAAAATAACCAGAAGAATCTTGTCATTACTCAAGGAAATGAGAAATGAAGTGATGTAGTTCACTTTTAAGAAAGGTTTTCTTTCCCGGCCGCCGAATTGGTAGTTTTGATGTCTAAAGTAACGACCGCCAAATAAAATAATACGTATCGGCAGGTTTGATATTACAACAAATCAGTCAAATTTTAATTATAACCAGCAATTCGTGTAAATACTAAAAAATCATTTGTCCCTTTACTTCATGGTAGCATTTTCTAACAAAGGAATATTCTGAATATTTAAAACGAAATTATACAACAAAATATGCGAGCAGGATATGACTTTCTATTAAAAGTCAAGTGAAATGAAACACTTTCCTTTCAACAACAATAACATGTATTTTCAATTCTTTTGAGTGTGCTGTGTACCACAAAAAAATGTTTTTTATTAAACTTTCCGAAATTTTTATAATGGTCTATAATCATGATATATATAAATGCTTCCAACAGAGGTGCTTGCAGTAGAAGAATACAAAAAAATAAGTGATTTCTTTCTCCACTTTTTCAAATGATGAAAACATATAATGTTTTCTTGGGTTAACATGAGTAGCCTATCAGGTCAACCTAAAAGGGTTTAGACAGGGCAATATTGAAATGGCCGGTCTCCCGATTTAAAACAATTTCTTTTATAGTGAAAAGATGAATTATAAATGCTCCTTTGGTACAGCTCTGCATTCATTTAATATGTCCCTTGGAATTCTGATTGGAGCCAAGTTGGTCAGATTGAAACCATTTGGTTTACTGGGATCCACTGCTTCATGTTTCCACTCATTTGAATCGACATCATAAACCTTCAATGAGCAGTTCTGGGTCAAATGTCTGCGCCACCAGCCAAGCACAAACAAGTCTCCTTTAAAGCTGACAACACCAAATGGCCATGTTGGGATTCCTGTGCTCTCGATACCGGTCCACGTGTTTGAGTCAGGATCGTACATTTCAATAAGACTTGAACATGAATCGAATTGCCGACTTTTAAATCCACCAAAGACGTAGACTTTGCCTCTGAAAATTGCACCAAAGGAATGGGCTTTCTTTTCCAGTGTCCTGGCATGCTTATGCCAGGAATTTCGGTGAGGGTCATAGCTCTCCACTACATCTAAGCGTTCATTATTAGACTCACCACCTATGGCATATAAAGAGTTTCTATCAGCCACTGCACATATAGCAGATCTGCCAACTCTTAAGGAAGCTAACACTTGCCAATGATCTGTGTCAGGACTGTATTTATAGACACGATTACTTCCTTTCTCCTTGTTCCTTTGCTGTTCTTTTTTCCCGCCAATTACAAACAGAGATCCTTGAAAGTTAACAACTGCAGGCAAAATGCAAGCAATTGCACTAGTGTAAGAATTCAAACGTGTCCACGAGTTTCTGGATGGATTATATTCCTCTATTGTAGATTGATGAGGATTAAAAGTTCCCCCAGTGACATAAAGTTTGCCATCACAGGCAGCCATATGAAAAGGAAACAATTTTGGACTCAGGTAGTTTGCCATCTCATACCATCTGTTTTCGGTAGGGACATAACCGTAGAGTTTCTCCTTTCCACAACCAACAAGGCAATCTTCAAACTTCTTTAGACAAATTCTTGGTGGCTGAGCAAAATAGCATTCTTCTGTTCCAGTGGAGACGTCTTTCATTGCATCTTGTGCAAACGCGGTACACGTCTCAGATCCTTTCACCAAGGGATACGACAAAACCTCATTAAAAACATACGTGGGTGACATATAAATAAAATACTTTTATCCAAATGAAAAGCTGTGCCACATTTTGTGACTATTGTCATCAGAATTCTTGTTCGTGACCATTTGGAACTTTTGCTTATGTGTATTTCACTTTATTGTACACTAACTTAGTCTCATACCTGTCATTTCAGGTTTTATTCGTTTTGCAATTTTAATATACTGCTTCTTTTTAGGTCGCCAGGTACATTATCAGCGAAACTGAAAAACGTTTCTAGTGTATTGTGATTTCCCTCAAAGAAGAGTTTTATACCAGGGCAGAAGCTCTTATTGGAATTACTGCTGAAGTTAGTATGCATTTACTCTGATGATAATATTTGGGCGCTCTTTACCGTCCCCCGTCCCCTAAGTAGATTTGGTACTCATTTCCAGGCTTGACTCGGTCGTAAGTGTGTATGATCCCGACGATATTATGAGAAGTAGGGGATTTTGAACAGTCTAGTTCAGCCCGTGTTTTCATCACTTGAGTTACTGACGTTCGTTAATGACGTTTCTTTTTGTTTTCTAGCCTGACAAAGACTGCACAGTGAGCCGAGTGTTTACCTTGGATTTGACTCAGTATCCAGAGTAGTTAGGCTGCCCCCACTCAAACTATTCATCAGTCGGAAAATTTCAAGAAAGCTTTACAGCAGTTAAGGAAAGATAAACCGCTTCATGTAGTCAGGGGATCTCATCTTAAATCTTGTGTTAACGGAACGTGAAATATGTTGTCAAGCCTTTGCAATCTCTTTCTGAACCTGAACTGACCATTATTTACTTTGTTTAAAAAAAGGTTATTAAAAAAAGATGACGCACTTGCAAGGTCTCGCTTTTATTGTCCTCCTCAACACTTTTTTACCTTACAATTCCGCTTATAAATTAATACTAAATATATTTACATTTCCAAAAAATATGTTAAATTAAATACACTAAATTCCGTTAAGTCTGAAATAAAATTAATTTATGAACTAGGAAATATTCAAGCCTGCTTATCGCTAAATTCCACTGACACGAACAATAACTCGTGCAACCGCGTGAGAATTGGCTACGATCTTGCTTTCGATTGGCCGAGAAAATGGCGAAAGATTTTTTTTAGCCAATAAAATGAGTACGAATGAAATAGGTACATTTACTTCGATGCTAAAAATGCTATGAAACGTATTGTTGGTTGCAACGTTGTTATTTTACGTTTGTCTGCAGTAAATAAAAATAATAAATATTGCGTAGATAAATACTGTTGATAAACCTATTTACTGACCATAAAAGAACCTGTACTGCGAAAATATGCGTCAAAAAATACTTAAATTCGGGAAGAGAAGCATGAAATTTTAAAATAGAAAATTGTTGTTTATTTAGAACCAAGAGCATCCTTTTTGCTTGCTCCGTGCTTGCACACCTTCTTTCCTCGTATCATGACCTCATGTAGGGCGTACAGTTCCACTATGGAGTAGGCCATCAGCACAAACGGTGATACGATCCAATGGTAAAGATTTCTAACAAAAGAGATCCTCTCCTTTACTCTCGGCTCCGTCAGCCTGACTGTGACTCGATCCAACAAGAAGATCAAGGCGAAGACAGCGTAGTTGAACACAAGGAAAGCTAACATTCCCCACTCAAGGATGACTGGAACCTCCACAAACAGAAAGTTAACGGAGATCGCCAACGTAACGCTGTAGAGTGACGAGCAACACAAGATAATACCTGTAAAAGGGATGGACAGAATTAAGCGAATTGATTAAAATCGCTCCAAATGTGTGATATCACTTATATTTTCAAAATAAAACCCTGCATGGCGGCTTATTCCGTAAAATCGACAACGGGACAAAGAGAGTCACGTGACGAGTTGTCCTATTACATTGTTGAACCTCATGTAGGGTGTATTGTTATTAATGCTGAAATCAGGGCTACCGATAGCCAATCAAATTGGAGAATTTTGTGAAAGTGATAATGATTATAAATAAAGACAAGTAATTACCATAATAGATGATGAAAGTGATTCCCCAGGACAAGGCAGTAAAGAATGGAATATTGTTTGACTTGACCATGAAGTAGTGAAACACCTCAGCAGCTCCAATGGTCCATCTTCGCGCCTGTCGAGCCCATTCCTCCAACTCCTCCTCAATCACCCTTCCAGATGTTGGACCGGAAAGAGTGGGTACGGGAACCATTACAATGCGAAGCCGTCTCTTGCAGACTCCCATCCACCTGTGACGTCATCAGACAAAAAGGAAAAAGACAGATCAATAACAGTACCATAAATTGACCTTCCCTGCTAAAAATCTAACTTTGTGACCTGCAATAAAATTCATGTCTCAGATCGGTTCTCTAAATCTCCTCGGAATCAATAAACGCTTTTTATTCAACTACATTATTCTTGTTTTTTATGTTACCAGTTCACACTATTAAATAGGATCGCTCCGCGGCCGCTCGATATATGAACCACACTACGTACAATTCCTTGGTTCGCTCTGACGAAGGACTAGCGTGCGAGTTAGCTTTTCAATCTTTTTTCGGTGTAAATTGCCTTTCTTGACTCAGTTGATTAATACTAGCCATGCTCACTCGGCCATAGCGATTCTCAATATAAAGAATATAGCAACACGAATCATGATATAAATGTACTACCGAGGATAAAGTTCAGGAAAAAAGTAATTGTTGTGTTCCTTAAGCGGATTATACACGGGGTGTTCAAAAAGAGTGCAGTTCTCTTTTTTGTGTATGTACGTTGCTTCATCTTACCTTATGAGAGCGATTATATCTTCCATCTGGTATGCAGGATGGATATACTGCCCAGCCATGCACAGAGAAGCTGAGAAGCTGTATATGCTCATAGTGTTGACATTAAATGGAATCATGGCTCCCATCATGAGGAATGCACGCAACATGCCAGTCAATCTGGTAACAACAGATGCTGCATCTAAATTCCAGTTATAGAGTAGTGGTGACTGGAACAAGCAGTTTACCATCTTTCTATCGAGATCTTTTGTTTTAATGAATTCTCGCTCGTATTTGTACTCCAGCGCTTCCATGTATCTTGGATGAAATTTGGAGTCTGCATCGCCAGTTGTTATAAGGATCCTATCTGGATCAAAGTTACTGCCAGCCTTTCTCTTCATGTGTGCTATACTTGTCCTAATGCCACAGTTGCTGTTGGAACACTTTCCTGGGATCTCTCCTTCCATGCCAAAGGGGTGAGTAACAAAAATAAGTTCACGGAATCGTGATCCGAAGAGTTTTGCCAAATCCTGCTGTTTGTTGCACAGGTTCGGAGTTTTTTCCTCAAATGACACCACCATGGTTACTCTGGAAGCAACAGTTTGATTGGCCAGAGTTTGAACTGAAGCAGCAATCAAATCCACAGGCTCCTTATAACAAGCTAAGACTGCTACGTGTTGGATGGGTGTCTTGTCAGCTGTTTGTGCTTCAGGATCCTTGTTACATTTCTTCATCAACTCGTCGCACTTGGATTTGAAGTCCGTCTTTCTGTGCCAAAACATGACAGCTGTAGTTCTTATGGCCAACAAGCAGACGCAAATCCAGAATACGATAAAGGCCCCCTGAATGCTTGGAAGGAGAAAAAGCGAAATCTCTTGGGAGACGAAAGGCAACCAGATAGGAAGAGGAACAAGGATCCACAAGATGAGATTAAAGATCAGATTCCAACGGAAGAGCTGCCTTCCTGTCTTGAGGTTAACGGCTTCTCCTAATTCAACGTCCCCACCATAGCAGACATTTGCAGTTGGAATGTGTTTATCCACATTCCCTGTAGTTTCCATATTAGTAGTTTTCTCTGGCTCAGCAGTTGGATTTGAGTTAGGCCTACTGTAGACAGTAGCGTAAGACTGCAATGGGGCAGCCGATGCTGTTCTGGCTAAAGGGGATTCACTTTGTGCCCTTTCATCGTTTAAAGACTGTAGTGGTACTAAAAAGAAATTCGTTCAACAATTTCTTAATGCTTATTTGTATCTGTCTAGGGTGCAATTACCGCTATATCTTAATAAAGAGGAGGAGGGCAGTTTGATGAGTCCAAGGAATATCAGGGACCACGGAGCAAGTTTCGAAGTGGGGGTGTTTGGGGAGGGGGCTAAGCTGAAACCAGCTGGAACTCCTTACCTACAAGCCTTAAAAAACTCACTAGGGAAAACATTAAGTCAAAGCAAATTACTTCCGATAGAAACAGAAGTTGTTAGTTTTACAGTCAAAAATCCTGAACAGTTTTTTCAGTAACATGTGACGAAAGACGTGGCTTCAGTAGTCTCAAGTAAACGGACAGATTAAAACAAAAATTTGTTACAAACTTTATAAAGAGGTTTTAAAACAGTGAATCGCGCTGCCTCAAACTTTATCACGCTTTGGAAGATTTTCTTGGAGTTGAATTCTAAAGGACTGTAACGAACTTCGGGAAAAAAAAGTTGTTGTCTTGTGTTGCAGGTCGTCCTCGACAAAACGGGAAATTGGGCACATTCACGTTGTAGTCGTGCAACGACAGCAAAGAGGTGTACAAAAAAGCGTAATTCACTTACAAAGTTGTTGTTTTGTTTATATAAACCTATTGCTTTTTGCCGTTCTCGTTGTGGTCGCCGTAGTCTTTTGCTTAAGCTCCCTGAAAAAAGGAGGGGGGTGGGGACATCCTCTCTGGGGTCACTGTAAGCTCTTGTATGTAGCTAATTTGCCTCATTTAACTCACAAACTTAGGTGAGACTTCAAGCCCCCTGGGACTTCAAGATGCTAATTTAGACTGTTAAACAAATTATAAGTACACTCATTCTTTGTTAGAATTATTAAACAGTGGAACGCTCTTCCTAATTAAATAGTGCACGAACAGGATTTCAGCATTTTTTGAAGTAAACTTAGAAAGTATTGTAAAACTGATTTTGTAGAAGTTTTTAGCCATTTCTTAATTATTCTTAAATTTTACATTGTAGTATATTTATTTTATATATTATGTAGGGAGTGTCCTCGATAGGGATAACCTCCGACGTTTCCTTTTATGTATCCTTACATAATAAATATTTGATTAACTGATTGAATTACGCTAGACAACTTGCGGGCGTACATGGGTACAGGTAGCGAAACCACTGATTGCCAGGAAAAAAAGTGGTTGGTTGTTCTTTCTCGTTATCTGTCATTCAAGTTAAATTCCTATCTTACCAGACTTGGGTATTTCTTCAACACTTTCTTCCGTTGATATGGCTTTACTAAGCCGCAGATCTGAAGGACAGGCGCCGCTATATCCTGTTTCATCAACTGGAGGCATATTGTAAGGTACAGCTTGAGTTTCTCTGATGAAAACCTGAGGCGATTAATGCACACCAATTGTATTTCTCTCTTGTCTACTGCGTCTATTGTTAGAGTAAGATTTAGTTTTAGGTGAAAGTCTCGGAAACTTATATCGTGCTAAATAACTTCCTATATTCCTTTCGATGCTCTGATTTTGTGCTCATTGAAATTTGGGTTAAGGACCGAATATTCACACGGTAATCGGTCATAAGAGACACATCACTATATCTCTTTAAGAAAACTGGGGACAGGGTCAGGTAAAGGATAAACTGACTGAGGAGAGACAGGCTCCGTAAAATAACGTTTAGACCTGAGTTAATCTTACCACGTAATTTGTTCAGACATCCCGAATGACTCGTTAGCTATCAAAATTTGTTTCTACCAATATTAGAGCACCGGAGACACATCACTGCATCTCCGGCTTCAGAAACAGAACTAGGGGCAGGAGATACAGGGCTCCGCAATAACGCCGTTTAGACCTGAGTAATCAGTCGCAAATCTACAGGCCCAAATTGTTCAATCCTGAATCCTGATCCCGAATGACCCGTTAGCTTATTTAATATCAGAACATCATTGTATCTACTACAAAACCAACTCTTCAGAGAAATATAGGCATGTGTCCAAAGCTAATAATTGACCCTTGATTGCTTGTCAAATACTATAAGTGTTCAACTCACCTACTTGAAGAAGGCAGCGGGACCTCTGGAAACAGCCGCAGACAAAACATAGCTCCAGTGAAAGTTGCATCTGCTTTTATACATGCAGGATTTCCTCTTACGTAAGCGTTTGATTCCGTGTTGAGCACGTGGAAAAGCAAACTTTAGACATCTCAAAAGTATCATGTTTACTTCTTGACGGCCGGAATTACGTTCACTTTATGTTACCCGATTATGACTCCGTATAATTATTTTAAGGCTTGTCGCCGTTATGCCCCCTGCGATTTTTCGAAATTTTTTTTTTTACTTTATAGTGCTAAATACCACCACGAATATATCAAATTAGCAGTATTTTTTTATATTTCTGGCTTTGCTTTAACATTTTAAAATACTTTACACAAAAACAAAGCAGATGAAAACTTAAATAAAGGATAACATGATATAACATAACATTTTATAGAAAAACAGAGGAGTTGGTTTGGAGATAAACATGCAGAATTTACGAATATCAAAAAGGGATTTGATTTCATGAACCATGAGATAGTAATCATAATATTCACTAGCCCCGCCGGAAGACAGCTCTTGTTGGCGAGTTCTAGTGAGTTCTTATAGGGGCAAATAACTTACAAGTACCTTGTCTTGAAGCGTGACTTGATCTAAGATCTCCCACACGTTTTATTGCAATCTTTTAAACTTTCGTGCCCTGTGCACAATTCTGGAATGCTCTGAAGAACTGAAGAACTTCCCTATTAACTCTGCCAGTTAACTTTCGAACGTGCCTCGTGCAGTATTTGAACTTTCTCGTTCATTTTACAGACAGTGAGTGTGTTAGTTGCCGGCAAAACGGTCAAATCAGGTACTAACTCAGTACATAACATCCTTGTTCATGACCAGCTGAGGGTTTTTAACACTTGTATCGCCTTTCGATAAATGGAAGTCTATGACGCATCTTTTGGTTGAAGTGTTTATGTAAACTATCTTTCATTCTTTGAAATGCTTGCTAAGACTTTGCAAAACGACAAAAATCTTTCTATATAAATAATGTTAAAAAAAAACTCCAAACGCACTTTAACTCGTGTCTTTCGATGTCAATTTTGTTTACTAATAGTCACGTCAATATTGGGGTCTAGCCTTGCAGTTTAGTTAGTCATAGCCTGTTCCAGGCTCCGAGATAGGCTACAATCACCGACAAAAGTAGTTGGAAAGGTTGTACAACTTAACAGTAGTCCATTTTAATCCTGAAAAAAGAGAGTTTTCTCTTTTGCTAAATATCCCCCGTCCCCCTATTCAATGTTGGGATATAACAGAACAATTGCGCTGATAGAAACAGAAGTTGTTAGTTTTACAGTCAAAAATCCTGAACAGTTTTTTCAGTAACATGTGACGAAAGACGTGGCTTCAGTAGTCTCAAGTAAACGGACAGATTAAAACAAAAATTTGTTACAAACTTTATAAAGAGGTTTTAAAACAGTGAATCGCGCTGCCTCAAACTTTATCACGCTTTGGAAGATTTTCTTGGAGTTGAATTCTAAAGGACTGTAACGAACTTCGGGAAAAAAAAGTTGTTGTCTTGTGTTGCAGGTCGTCCTCGACAAAACGGGAAATTGGGCACATTCACGTTGTAGTCGTGCAACGACAGCAAAGAGGTGTACAAAAAAGCGTAATTCACTTACAAAGTTGTTGTTTTGTTTATATAAACCTATTGCTTTTTGCCGTTCTCGTTGTGGTCGCCGTAGTCTTTTGCTTAAGCTCCCTGAAAAAAGGAGGGGGGTGGGGACATCCTCTCTGGGGTCACTGTAAGCTCTTGTATGTAGCTAATTTGCCTCATTTAACTCACAAACTTAGGTGAGACTTCAAGCCCCCTGGGACTTCAAGATGCTAATTTAGACTGTTAAACAAATTATAAGTACACTCATTCTTTGTTAGAATTATTAAACAGTGGAACGCTCTTCCTAATTAAATAGTGCACGAACAGGATTTCAGCATTTTTTGAAGTAAACTTAGAAAGTATTGTAAAACTGATTTTGTAGAAGTTTTTAGCCATTTCTTAATTATTCTTAAATTTTACATTGTAGTATATTTATTTTATATTTTATGTAGGGAGTGTCCTCGATATATAGGGATAACCTCCGACGTTTCCTTTTATGTATCCTTACATAATAAATATTTGATTAACTGATTGAATTACGCTAGACAACTTGCGGGCGTACATGGGTACAGGTAGCGAAACCACTGATTGCCAGAAAAAAAAGTGGTTGGTTGTTCTTTCTCGTTATCTGTCATTCAAGTTAAATTCCTATCTTACCAGACTTGGGTATTTCTTCAACACTTTCTTCCGTTGATATGGCTTTACTAAGCCGCAGATCTGAAGGACAGGCGCCGCTATATCCTGTTTCATCAACTGGAGGCATATTGTAAGGTACAGCTTGAGTTTCTCTGATGAAAACCTGAGGCGATTAATGCACACCAATTGTATTTCTCTCTTGTCTACTGCGTCTATTGTTAGAGTAAGATTTAGTTTTAGGTGAAAGTCTCGGAAACTTATATCGTGCTAAATAACTTCCTATATTCCTTTCGATGCTCTGATTTTGTGCTCATTGAAATTTGGGTTAAGGACCGAATATTCACACGGTAATCGGTCATAAGAGACACATCACTATATCTCCTTAAGAAAAGGACAGGGTCAGGTAAAGGATAAACTGAAGAGAGACACTCCGTAAAATAACGTTTAGACCTGAGTTAATCTTACCACCTGTTCAGACATCCCGAATAACTCGTTAGCTATCAAAATTTGTTTCTACCAATATTAGAGCACCGGAGACACATCACTGCATCTCCGGCTCCAGAAACAGAACTAGGGGCAGGAGATACAGGGCTCCGCAATAACGCCGTTTAGACCTGAGTAATCAGTCGCAAATCTACAGGCCCAAATTGTTCAATCCTGAATCCTGATCCCGAATGACCCGTTAGCTTATTTAATATCAGAACATCATTGTATCTACTGCAAAACCAACTCTTCATAGAAATATAGGCATGTGTTCCAAAGCTAATAATTGACCCTTGATTGCTTGTCAAATACTATAAGTGTTCAACTCACCTACTTGAAGAAGGTAGCGGGACCTCTGGAAACAGCCGCAGACAAAACATAGCTCCAGTGAAAGTTGCATCTGCTTTTATACATGCAGGATTTCCTCTTACGTAAGCGTTTGATTCCGTGTTGAGCACGTGGAAAAGTAAACTTTAGACATCTCAAAAGTATCATGTTTACTTCTTGACGGCCGGAATTACGTTCACTTTATGTTACCCGATTATGACTCCGTATAATTATTTTAAGGCTTGTCGCCGTTATGCACCCTGCGATTTTTCGTAATTTTTTTTTTTACTTTATAGTGCTAAATACCACCACGAATATATCAAATTAGCAGTATTTTTTTATATTTCTGGCTTTGCTTTAACATTTTAAAATACTTTACACAAAAACAAAGCAGATGAAAACTTAAATAAAGGATAACATAATATAACATAACATTTTATAGAAAAACAGGGGAGTTGGTTTGGAGATAAACATGCAGAATTTACGAATATCAAAAAGGGATTTGATTTCATGAACCATGAGATAGTAATCATAATATTCACTAGCCCCGCCGGAAGACAGCTCTTGTTGGCGAGTTCTAGTGAGTTCTTATAGGGGCAAATAACTTACAAGTACCTTGTCTTGAAGCGTGACTTGATCTAAGATCTCCCACACGTTTTATTGCAATCTTTTAAACTTTCGTGCCCTGTGCACAATTCTGGAATTCTCTGAAGAACTGAAGAACTTCCCTATTAACTCTACCAGTTAACTTTCGAACGTGCCTCGTGCAGTATTTGAACTTTCTCGTTCATTTTACAGACAGTGAGTGTGTTAGTTGCCGGCAAAACGGTCAAATCAGCTACTAACTCAGTACATAACATCCTTGTTCATGACCAGCTGAGGGTTTTTAACACTTGTATCGCCTTTCGATAAATGGAAGTCTATGACGCATCTTTTGGTTGAAGTGTTTATGTAAACTATCTTTCATTCTTTGAAATGCTTGCTAAGACTTTGCAAAACGACAAAAATCTTTCTATATAAATAATGTTAAAAAAAAACTCCAAACGCACTTTAACTCGTGTCTTTCGATGTCAATTTTGTTTACTAATAGTCACGTCAATATTGGGGTCTAGCCTTGCAGTTTAGTTAGTCATAGCCTGTTCCAGGCTCCGAGATAGGCTACAATCACCGACAAAAGTAGTTGGAAAGGTTGTACAACTTAACAGTAGTCCATTTTAATCCTGAAAA